TGGTGTCATAAAGTATTGATAAAGGAAGAATTCGTTTTTCTGCTTAAAATGGGTCAAGTGATGTGTGTTCCTGTTTAAAAAAACAGTGGAATAATGTATTGATTGTTCTCTGCGCGCCTGGCCGGTGACTCCTGTCTTTACAAGTGCCTGGAAGCAAACAAGAGTGGGTAAATGGTCTTGTGACTTCAGCCCGGCTAAACGGAGCAAGGGTTGGGAACCTTAATTTCCAGGCAGGTGCAGTGCAATGCTGGTGTATATACTGTACAGTATACTGTACATCTAGCATGAGGCCCTTTTGTGATGTGCTACCCCAGTTGGAGTGGGACCTTCCTGCCCAGTCTTTAGGATGCTAAGAGGACTGCTCCCTTAGGTTCTTGCCGGGCAGGACTCTTGTGTGCATCCCCCAGTGCCAGCAAGTGATGAGTGTTTGTGATGCTTGTGGCATTTTCTACAACTGGACGAGACTGTATTTGGTTCTGCCATCCTGGGAACCGTGCACAGACAAAACAAGTTTATCTCAGAGTTACAGTGTGGTGAATCTTGTTAGCCAACTTTGTGGGATCCTTACTGGATCTGTAGGGAATGTTGTCTTTTTAGACGCATAGAATGGTAGGGTTGGCAGGGATTCTCAATGGTCATCTAGTCCGCTCCCCTTCCAGTGCAGGAAACCCACAGCTCAAGTGTTTGATGACAGATGGCCATCCATGCAATTTTGGTTGGAACAGGGAAGAGTCCATCCTTCTCTCAGGGAGTCCATTCCACCATCTTGGAAGGGAGTGGACTGTCCTGTCCATGCTTCAAATATCCTTGGTTCTTCATCCTTCTATTGTATGTTCGTTTTAAGAGGGAAACAAAAATACTTGACTTCTCTTTTTGTAAGTAGTGGACTTTTCATTTCCCCCTATATAGCACCCCATGAAAGCTTCTGTGTTTTGGGGACATACATATTTGTTTGCTGGAATTTGTGGATGGTTTCATGATTCCAGAAGGCAGACTGGCTCTTTCGGGACACTTCCTCTTAAGTTAGCCTGACTTCAGAAGCTGTTTTCTCTGCAGGTTTTTTCACGGCCATCTGCTTTTCAGTCTGTTGCTTCCATTAAGCGTGCTTGGTGGTGCAGTGCTTGTTTGCTTTTCTGAGGGTAATACAGTACAATAATTGTTATGACTTTTTGGTAAAAGTGTGTAGTCCTAGATTGTAGAGCACTTACAAGAATGCAAATTAGCAAAGTCCCATAGGATGCTAGAGTGGCCAGCTATGTCAACAATAAAATTACCTGGTATGTGTTTGGATGACTGATTTCCTATACAAAGATGGCGCCACACCTTCTTCCTAATGAAGATGACAGAGATGTGGTGGATTCTCCACATGCTTCTGCATTCCCATTGTAAACTGGGTTATTCAGCCTCAGGGAAAGGGTGGAAAAAAGCAACCTAAATTGCATGAACTTGGCCACAGAACCTGTGTAATGGCTGTTGTATGGTTCGTTAAAGCTCTGGGTGTGCCTGTCAAGTAAAAATTAAACAAAGTTTGTCCAAAATCTTCTCCTGCCAACAGCTGTCCTTGACTCACCTTTTTACCTGAGCACTGGCAATCTCCCCTGGGTGTGTAGTATAAATGAGGAAATGATTGCTAATGCCCAGGATGGAAAATCTTCTTTGGGATCAAAGCTGGATATTTTTGCCTCTAACCTGTAAAGGGAAAATATCTAAGGTGGTGATCTTTGGCAGTAGTGGTCAAGGGATCAGGAATCTCTCTCTGCACTTTTTTTCAGCTGTTACTGTTCTGTGCAAGTCATTGATGGATCAAGAGGTTTCCTAGGGATGACAATGAGGTTCTTAAAAAGAATCAATTAATTATTCCTCCTTTGAGGTTTTCTGTGAAAGGTCAGAGTATGCTGGGAATTTGCTGGTATACGATTGCAGATAACAGATTCTGCTAATGACGTTTTGGTTCTCTGGCATCCCACGGAATACTGCACAGACTTCCTGTAAATAGCTAAAGGCTATTTTGCCTGCCCCTCTCCCCAGTGTAGTGGGCTGGTTGAGGGAAGCTTCTAAACTGCCTGTGTTAACTGGTCTTTGCTTCTGGATGAAGTGAGGTGGGGTGAGAGAATGGAATGTTAACTTTGTGGTATTTATTTCCTCTGCACTTTGAGAAGTATTTCAAGCAGAAATTTTGGGCATGTATTGTGTTCCTAACTCCTGACAGGATCTACGGGCACCCTTTCTTTCTGTGTTATTGGACATCCTATATATGTTCCCTCTGAGCCTTTAAATGTTGGCCAAAATCCTCTTGCCTAATTACACTGGCTTAAAGCAAAGAGAATAACTTTGGGAAGCAATTTGCCTGAGGTTGAGAAATCTCTTTAGACATGGTTTGTTTCATCCTGAATTACATTTTTTGCAAAAGGGTTTTGGACATCACCTCTGTCCTGAAGACTTGCATATGGGCTGAAGGGTTTTGCTATAGGCACTTGCTTCAAAATTTCAAAATATCATTTCTATTCTTGCCAGCCCAGAACTTGGAAAAGTTTGCTCCTTCATTGGATTGCCAATATATATAGGTCATATATATATATGACCTGTATATATTGGCAATCCAATGAAGGAGCAAACTCCAAAATGTGCTGTCCCTGGAGCTGCCCTGCTCAACTCTTGCATACTCAAGCCTGTGACTTCTTTTATGGAGTCAGGCCATCTTGTATTTGATCTTCCTTTTTACTTCTGTCTTCCACCTTTCCCAGCATTATTGTCTTTTCCAGACCATCCTGCCTTCTTATGATAAGCATGTACATATTTCCTACAGTCCCCTGAATTCCTGAGCTGGCATAGGCGCTTGTCATAGTGGCTGGGTGATTATAGACATTATAATCCTAGAACTAACTTTTCTAAACCCTTTGCCAGATTTGCCACAACATTACCAATTGCTTTTGAATTATTTTCCTCCATCCTTTATCAAAGTGGGAGGCAGTTGGGGACAATGTTCCAGGCTTGGTTAGAATAGCTGGTGTTGAACTTTTGAGACTGTGGAAACCACAGAAAGCATTGCCAGGCTAGAGATAATGAATAGATTATGAGCTGCACTTGTGACCCATTCCAAGGATTGGAGCAATTTGTATGTGCATTGTTATCTTTTGTGTTGGGCTCAGATACGGGCCAGTAAGGTAGTTTAGGCTACATTGAAAACTAGTGATTCGTCCAAGGCTGTCTAGTGAAGATTTCTTATGTTTTTTAACATGAGTTACATTTTAAGGAACTTCACACAAAGATGCATATACAGGTACTGTACATATAAAATAGTTATGTACTGTACCTGTGGCATGATGGGGCAGAAGGTAAGGGCACCTAACTGGAAGCAGAATTGTGGGTAGCCAGAGCCAAAGACTGCATTAGACACAGGCAGTGTAGGTGGCATAACTTCAAACTGCAGATAACTTCCAGGACATGTGGAAAGCAACTGCTCAATTGGTTTTGCCAAACCTACTGCAGCACAATGAGGGAATCCTGCTGGATATCCTGCCTAGCTGGGGTTTAATTAAGAATACAGGTAGTTATTATTTAGGTGGTTTGGAGGAACTGAGCATATGCAGGGCACCAACCACCAAATAGACCCAGAACCCTCAGGACAGGAAAGAAACAGGTGGTGGTGGGTGCAGGTGGGCAAGCCAGCTCCTTGCCGAGACAGGTGGTGGGGGGTGCATCCGTGCAGGTGGGCAAGCCAGCTCCTTGCCGAATAACTGGCTTGCATGCAAGTCAAGGGAAGCATGGCCCATTTGATTGTGGAATGCAGGAAGCCACTGAAATCCCATGCTTAATAAAAACTCACCCCAAGCTCGCATGGCCCATTTGCAGCTGATTGTGGAATGCAGGAAGCCACTGAAACCCCATGCTTAATAAAAACTCACCCCAAGCTCAGAACAGTTAATATTTGGGGCCACAACTTCCTGAATCTCCTGGCCAAGAGGTCCAGGTATATACAGCAGAAGGACAACGGAGGCCACTGAAGGAATTATGAAGGTCCATCTGCTACCGAGCCACAATTTGGATGTGGGTGGCCAGTAAGATGCACCACTTGTGCTCTCAGTGTTTTAAGTCCCGTTGCTGTTTTGGATGAAACATGGGGCAGTTCTTGCTTTAACAGAACATGTGAAAGGGTTAACCATCACAGCCCTCAAGTAATTATCCTACAAATTGTGCCTGCAAGGGCACTTTCTAAAGGAAATACTAAACTCGCTCCCTGGCACTGAATGTGGTAGTTAGCCAGCAAAGAGTCCAATTCTGTCTGTGGCAAAAGTAGGTGATTGTACTTCTGCAGATGTCCATCTCTTGTGCCATAAATGTTAGTCCTGGAAACAAGAACCCCTTTATATAGGGCGTTAAATGACCTCCTTGTATTTGAATGCGAGCCTCCTGATTCAATAGTGATCTCTTATCAGCTGTGTTGCCAAGTTCTAACAGCAAATGTCTGCTACTGTCTTTTGATTAACTCTAAAGTGTTCTTTTTTTAAAACGTGTTCAGTGCAAGTTAGCAAATGTTGCAAAAAATTATTCTGAATTATCACTTTGAAAATCACAAGCTTTCAGAGCTGTCTGAGGAGACAAAAAGTTGGCTTTCCAGTCTTGGAAAATCAGCAAACTCTAGTTGAAAGAGATTGTGGCAAACCCCCCAAACCACACCCCACAAAGAATCTTGCAGGAGATAAAGACTAGCAAGTTTTATTT